CCTCCTGTCGTCTGTGTAGTTGCTGATTTTCAGATTGGGTCTCTGAGTGGATGTCCAGATTGTTGATGATGAAGTTATTTCTGTTTCTTAGTTTTCCTTCTAACAGTCTGGCCCCTCTGCTGTAGGACTGCTGAGGTCCACTCCAGGCTCTGCTTGCCTGGGGATCACCTGCAGCAGCTGCAGAACAGTAAGGGTTGCTACCAGTTTCTTCTTCTGCTATCTTTGTCCCAGAATGATGCCCACCAAATGTCTGTCTGATCAGTCCTTTGTGAGGTGACTCTTTGGATATATGGGGGTCAGGGAGCTGCTTGAGGAGACAACTGTTCTTTACAGGAGTTCAACTGCTGAGCTGTGAGCTCCATGTTTCATTCAGAGCTGCTAGGCAGGTACGTTTAAGTCTGCTGCAGCAGAACTCTTAAACCCCCTTTTTCCCCCCAGGTGCTCTGTCCTGGGGAGTTAGGGCTTTATTTATGACTATCCGTTGTGCTGCTGCTTTTTTTTTTTATTTTCAGGGCTGCCCTGCCCAGCAAGGAGGCAGCCTAGTCACTGTCTGCCTGCAGAGGCTTTGCTGAGCTGCTGTGGGCTCCACCCTGCTGCCATGTGAACTTCCCTGAAGTCCTATTTATATGCGTGTGGTTAGAACTGCCTTGGCAATGGTGGCCCGCCTCTGTAATGGCGGACTCTCTCTGTTATGGCAGGTTGCCTCAGCAATGGCAGATTGCCTCGGCGATGGCAGAATACCTCTGTAGGGGTGGAGTGCCTCAGTAATGGCAGACGCCCCTCCCCCACCGAGCTGCCTGGGTTCAGCTGTGTTTGCTGTGAAACTCTCAACCCCCGAGTGTTTCCAACTGCTGCTTTTGTTTGTTTGTTTGTTTTCGTGGGGGGTGGGACCTGCCGAGCCTGATCACCAGGCTCTCTGCCTCAGAGCCTTTTTTTTTTAGTTGAACAGTTGACTCTCTCCCAGGTGATCCAGTCGCCCCCTGAAAGGGCGCTGGGATCTGTGTTATTTCCCATGTGGAGACCCACAGCACTGCCCAGGAATCTCCTGGCCTGGCTCCCTGTTTCAGATGCATTTAATCAGATGAATGGGCAAATCTGCCTTCCTGGAGCTCCAGTTGCCAGCTTAAAAGGGCAACCAGACCTGTGTATTTTGTATGGAGAGTTGTGGTGCGGGGTGCCAGCAAAATAGCCGCGCTGGCCGAGACAGCCACACTGGCAACCCATGGGGCTCCTCCGCCTGGGAATCTCGTGGTCTGTGGGCAATAAAGATCTGTTTGGAAATGTGGCATCCACTCACTCTCTGTGCTTTCACTGGGAGCTGCAATCCTGAGCTGCTCCTAAAGGGCCATCTTGGATCTTCTGTCAAATAAATTTCATTTCATGATTATATGTGGTACACTATAATACATTCTCAGCACTATTATTGCCTGCTTTCCCAGGAAAAACATAAACATTTCATTCCAAGAATTACTTTCTACCCACAAATAGTTGTTCATGAAATAATTACCTCTTCCTTTCCTCAAAATCAATGGATTGATACCGTTTCCATACAGAAGTCTTACATGCATTCGTTGCAATATTCTTTGTGTTGATCTTCATTCACTATAGAAAATGAGAAAACCAAATTGATCATAAATGGAGCATTCTTATGTACATTTATACTGACATTTATTGACTCACAGAAGAGAGTCCATTTGAAGTTAAGAATAAAATAACTGACCATATTTTCATTTTAATGCTCAATCCAAAAATAATACTTAAGCAATGCTAGACAAGTAAATATTCTAGCTGTCATAAGGATAAAAATCTTAATATTGACTGCCAATAAAACTCTAAAATTAATATTCCTTCCACCCTCTGTCTTTACTTCCTTCCTTCTCCCTCTCACACATTCCCTTGAAGGAGTAATACTTAACAGTAAAAAATTTAAAGTACAAAAGTATACAGTAAAAACAGGTTGATGGCTCATCACCAGCCTCTTGTCTCTCTCCCCATACACATCTGCTGGGGAGCAGCCAATTTAATGTGAATCATTCTAGATATAGTCTATGCCATACATGTGTATATATATGGATGTTAAATTTTTAATTTTTCTCAATAGTTCGTATATCACAAATACATTTTGAATCTTCATTTTCACTTAATGATACATATAGGAGATTTTCTGTTTAGGAATATTTATGTTTAACATCTGTGACTGCCATTGTATAGATGTAGAAGCATGGAACATATATCCTACTGGTGAAAATTTAGGTGGTTTTTGCTTTTATGTTACTACAAACAATGTGGTAATGTATATTCAAGTAATATGCTTTGTACATAAGGGATAAATATCTGTAGAATAAATTCCCAAATGTGTAATTGCTGGGGGGTAAAGTATGTATACTTACTATTTTGAGAGACATTTCTAATTTGCAAGTTTATAATCTCACGTAATATATGGATGGTCATGGCTTCTCCATGTCACATATGTTATCAAATTTTTACTTTTTCTGTCCTGATTGAAAAGTCTGGACTCATTTAGTTTTATTTTGAATTTCTCTATTATAAATAGGGTCCAGCATCCTTTTGTATAAGTACCATTTAGATTTGACTTTTTATTTTCTTTACCTATTTCTCTATTGGATGGTTGATTTGTACAAGCTTATTATATTAATAAAATTAGTTCTTATCATCTTTTGTGTTGCAAATGTTTTTTCCGAATTTTTATTTATCATTTGAACTAATTTATGTTAAAATTTTTATTTTTAGGAAGTCAAATATATCTTATTTCAATTGCATCTGGTTTTTGTTTGATTGCTAAGACAGAGAATAAGAGAGTTCAAAATGTTTCTCACATTTTTTTTTAGCAACCTTAGTAACCTCATCTACCTTTTAAAGTCAACATTATATAAAAAACACTTTTCCTGGATGTATTTGTCTCTAAAAAGTGATGTATGAGTTCAACTGTCACTATGTCTATAATTTACTTGGAAGGTTTTTTTCTTGCATGTATAGTATGATACCATATGTGTTACTTAGCTTATGCTGTCTTGCAGACAAGCTAGTATTACATCAGAAACCAGAACTCCTGAGGAGTAACCACAGGCTCTTCTGTTATCCCAATCTCCATCAAGCTTTGCTCTTCTAATTAGTATATTGGATATCAGAAATAGTTTTTTATTTTAAAAAATTCTGTTGAAAATTGTTACCTGCTCACTAGCTTGATGAAAACTAGAAATGCAATCTTATTGATGAAATTAAAGGTTTTTAAGATGTATGGATTGGTTGAAAAAATTTGGAGTTACTCTCTATTCATGCATGAACAGGATTTAAGATTGAGGCCATATTTCGCACCTGTAGGGACAGAGATAGAGCCTTGAATCTTAAAACAGTTCCGGCTCCAGCCATTGATTTAAAAGACTGGTTGATGTTGATTATATGATGCTGCTGATTATATGGGTGACAGAATCTTTTCTCATGACTGTTGTCAGGTATACCACATGTGCATCTTTTAAGTAAGTTTGTGGTTAGAGCACCTCAAACTTTAGTCAACTGGACTTCATCAAGTTTACAGAGCAGGTCATGGATTGTTTGTGCTGTTTGCTGTTGATTGTTCAATCAGTGTTTATATATGCATTTGTTTAGAAACTTGCTTGCTTTCTAACCAAAGGAATACCTGACTTTGTCCATCTTCTCAAGGGTTTTCAGTGGCTACTGTTAAATATACAAACTGAACTGTACATACTCAATAAACTTAAGTCAGCTGGTAACAACTTAATTCATTATGGATAGTCATTTTTTGCTATAATCTCATCTGCTAAGTAATTCATATTTATTTTATTTTATTTTGAGATGGGGTCTTTGCTCTTGTAGCCCAGGCTGGAGTGCAACAGCACAGTCTGGGCTCACTGCAACCTCTGCCTCCCAGGTTCAAGTGATTCTTTTGCCTCAGCCTCCCGAGTAGCTGGGATTATAGGCATATGCTGCCACGTCCAGCTAATTTTTTGTATTTTTAGTAGAGATGGGGTTTCTCCATGTTGGTCAGGCTGAGTAATTCATATTTCTCTGCTGATTTGAAAGGCTATATTTATCATAGACTAAATTCCCATAGACATTTGAATCTGTTTCTGGATTGTTCATCTGTTTACTCAATCTATGCTAACATCATTTTTAATTTATATTTTAGCTTACTTTTAAGAATTTTCTGAGTTATTTAGTATGTTTATTTTTTCATGTAAACAAAGAATATTGTCTCCCCCAACCCCTACTGTAAAGATATCCATTGGTATTCTATCTATCTATCTATCTATCTATCTATCTATCTATCTATCTATTACTTATACAGTGCTTACTACACACTCTTAATTCATTTTCATAGCAACTCCATAGGTATGTTTTATTATTACTCTTGTGTTAGAGGTGAGTCACAGATAAGTGAAGTAATTTAGTTGTGAACATGCTAAAATTACAAGCTAATATAGAAATCTTTATCTTTTTAGTCTTCTTAACCAAAAACAAGTAGGTATTTCTAATTACAAAGTTTTCTCTTAATTTTTCTGTAGGCTTTATAGTTTTTTTCCTATAGATTATATACACATCTAAAGTTCATTCTTTAGTTGTAACTGCAATTTTTTTCATCTATTATATTCTATAATGGACTGTTGCTTACATATATAAGCCCAAAACCAAAAGGCTATTGATTTTTCAGTGTTAGTTTCATATCCACTTAGAGGATAAGACTCTCTTACTATGGTTTCTTGAAGTACAATGTTATTATCTACAAATAATATATTTGCTTTCTTCTTTCCACTGTCTTGTCTTTCTGGTACCTAATTAAGTCAGCTAGAACACCCAAAACTATATCAAATATTCTTTGAGTGGGAAATCTCATTGTATGATTTTAGCTTGTTTTGAGAGCACTTTAAGAAGAATACTCTTAGATATTTGTAGGTCTTCTCACTACATTTTGTATAACCCAATTGCATGCTACTTATGTTTTGTTTGTTTGCTTGTTTTAGGATTGTAACTCCAGAAGCTAGTTTAGCCTTTGAAACATACATACATGGTGATCAAAAGCTTACTGAATGCGGAAGTCAGTGAATGGATGAATAAATGGCATAGTTATCTAAGGAAAGTATATACTGTCATTTTTTTCATTAATCTCCTGAGTACTTTTCTTATTAAACTTCTTTCTTTTGTGTCAGACTTTTTTGCTCTCAATGTTCTTTTGTTTTTACAGTTTTTAAGTTTTTCCCACTGTCTGGAATCTAATTGTCAGTTTTTCCAAAGACCTCACCAACCTGATTTTGTTCTACCTATCCAAACCTAACTTGTACTATTCCCCCAAATGGTACAAATGTTTCTGTTCTCTGTGAGGCCAATCTCTAGAGTCCCATACAAAAACACACTAGACTCATTCCCATTTTAATGTCTTCATTCTGGGTTCCCTTTTTGGCTTCCCATTATTCTCCACATCACTATGAATAGCCAAATTCTACCCGTTCTTCATACTTTAAGATCAAAGGCCATCTCTCTCATAAGCATTCTCAATTTTCCCAGCATTTATTCTGATGCCTTTTCAAAACACCTACAACATTTGTGGTCAATACTGGATACCCTACTAGGTAATTATGTACTGTTTTGTATTGCTGTCAGTGATTCATGACTGTTCATCTTACTACCTAAAGTAAATGCTTGAGGACAGTGGACTTAGGCTGTCCAGTATCCCCCCAGCGTCTTGCACAATGCTTAGCATGGAGGAGAGTGGAGGCTGCAAATTAGCACCCATAAATAAATAAAACCCATAACCTTGATTTTCTTGGCCAAAAAATATCTCTTGAAAAATTGAACATGAATGCCTTAGGCTGTACTTGTTTGCTTCTTTTAATCACAGCTTCTCTATCTCTATCTGATTTACACTTCATTTATACATTTATGTTACCTGCATGGCCTTGTAGACAAGTTTGTTTGTGATACTACAGGGTTTCAGTATGGATTGGCTGAAAGATTCCTCCACAAGAGGTAAGATACAGTGTTAGAAAAGCATAAACCACAGCTGATTACTCTCTCCAATTAAGAAATTAGGTTGGGAGATGAGGGTGCTCTGGCTCTGCTGCTTAAATACTAATATAAAAAAGCTTAGGATTAACGTCTTAGCTGCAATGGAGGCTGGGAGATTGCATGATTTTTATGGGACACACTAATACTTTGAAGAAAGATGAAAATTTTTATTTAAAATAGAGAAAATAGATATTGGGTAAGCAGTGTCAGCCACACATAACTTTTTAAAGAGTAAAAACCAGAAAAAAAAAACCACGCAGGATTGAACTTAATATCTTCAGGATCGTTAGAATTTGCCTAGTTATCTGTATAGACAAGGAAAAAATGAAAATGTGTGATTAACTGATACATTCAGAGAACTTGTTTAAGAATGAACACTGAAATATGGCTATCTATACCTCTGAATTTTTGGAATAATTCAGACCATCTCATAAGAACCTGTGATATTATTCTCATAATTTATGTAAGTCAAATACATCAAATGCTATTCAAATAAACAAAAACTATAAAATATATGAAAATCAAAATATACCAAAAGAACACCTAGCTGAGTATACGGTGTTAACAATTTATCATAGGAGAAAAATTATGGAATATTTAATTGTAGATCTATTTTATTTACTGATGAGGAAATAAAGATATTCAAAAAGTATGTGGTTAAGAAAGGGAGCTTTCAAATGTGAAAAATAACCTACTTTCATTAAAAAATTTTATGTAGGGAGAGGACTCAAGATGGAGCTGTGAGAACAACCCAGGATTGAAGCTCTCACTGGATGCGTGGAGAGGGTGAGTCGGGGACGCATTTCCAGACAAATATTAGTTGCCCACAGAACGGGGCAATTCCCAGGTATAAAAGAGACGTGGGACACCAGGCAGAGGTCTTGGCTAGTGTACCCGGCAGCCGTTGCGGCTACGGCCCACGCAGGAGCTCAGATGCACTCCACAGCGCTCCATACGAAAGCACTGTTACTGGTGCCCTGTTGAACTGGCAAACTGAGACCTGAGAGGGCTGAACTTGAGACTGAACGGGACTTGTACAGTGAGCCAGCCCAGGACATCCCAGGGACACAGCGTTTGGGGTAGCGCAGTACGACAAACAAAACGGCGATTCCAAATGCTCCCGGTGAGGAGGTTCTCTTAAAGTGCAGCTTGGTGGGGGAGGGGCGTCCGTCATTACTGAGGCAATCAGCCCCTACTAAGGTACATGCCCATTGCTGATGCAGCCTGCCGTTGCCGAGGCAACCCAGTACAACAGAGAGACTCCGCCACAGGGTGTAGCCCATGGTAACAGGGCGGAGACCACAGCAGAAGGGCAGAGCCTGCAGCAATAGGGCGAACGTCACACCAGCAGGGAGGAGCCTCGGCAGGCAAATAGTGACTACACTGCCTCCTAGCTGGGCAGGACAGTGAGGCGGACACTCACAAGGAAAGCCCCAACCCCCCCCGCCAGACAGAGCATCTGAGAAAAAAAAGTTTTTTTTATGAGTTATGTTGCAGCAGAATTAAACATAGCAGCCTAACAGCCCTGAATGAACAACAGAGCTCATAGCTCAGCACTTGAGCTCCTACAAAGTACAGACTGTCTCCACAAGCAGCTCCCTGACCCCTCTATATCCAAAAGACTGACATTTGGCAGGCATCATTCTGGGACAAAGATAGCAGAAAAAGAAACCGGTAGCATCCCTCGCTGTTCCGCAGCTGCTATAGGTGCACCGCAGACAAGCAGGGCCTGGAGTGGACCTCAGCAGTCGTACAGCAAAGGGGCTCGACTGGTGGAAGAAAAACCAAGTAACATAAATACTTCATCATCAACAATCTGCGTGTCCACTCAGAGACCCAATCGAAAAGTCAGCAACTACACAAACGACAGGTGGGTAAATCCACAAAGATGGGAAGAAACCAGCGCAAAAAGGAGGAAAACACCTGAAACCAGAACACCTCGCCACCTAGAAAGGACCAAAACTCCTCACCAGCAAGGGAACAAAGCTGGATGGAGAATGACTGTGACGAAATGACGGAATTAGACTTCAGAAGGTGGATAATGAGAAACTTTTGTGAGCTAAAAGAACATGTTTTAAATCAATGCAAAGAAACTAAGAACCTTGAAAAAAGATTCGAGGAAATGATAACAAGAATGGATAACTTAGAGAGGAATATGAATGAATTAAACGAGCTGAAAAACACAATACGAGAACTTCACGAAGCATGCACAAGTTTCAATAGCCGAATTGACCAAACAGAAGAAAGAATATCAGAAGTCGAAGATCAACTCAGTGAAATAAAACGAGAAACCAAGATCAGAAAAAAAAGCACAAAAAGGAATGAACAAAGTCTCCAAGAAATGTGGGACTATGTGAAGAGACCTCACCTACGTTTGATAGGCATACCAGAAGGTGACGAAGAGAATGAATCCAAGCTGGAAAATACTCTTCAGGAAATTATCCAGGAAAATTTCCCCCACCTAGCAAGACAGGCCAACACTCAAATGCAGGTGTACAGAGAACACCACAAAGATATTCCACAGGAAGAGCAACCCCAAGGCACATAATCGTCAGATTCAACAAGGTTGAAATAAAGGAGAAAATACTAAGGGCAGCCAGGGAGAAAGATCAGGTCACCCACAAAGGGAAGCCCATCAGACTCACAGCAGATCTCTTGGCAGAAACTCTACAAGCCAGAAGAGAGTGGGGGCCAATATTCAACATCCTTAAAGAAAAGAACTTTCAACCCAGAATTTCATATCAAGCCAAACTGAGCTTCAGAAGCGAAGGAAAAATAAAATCCTTTGCGAACAAGCAAATACTCAGAGATTTTGTCACCACCAGGCCTGCTTTATAAGAGCTCCTGAAAGAGGCACTACACATAGAAAGGAACAACCAGTACCAGCCATTCCAAAATCACACTAAATGCTAAAGAGCATCAACATAATGAAGAATCTACAACAACTAATGGGCAAAACAGCCAGCTAGCATCAAAATGGCAGTATCAAATTCACACATAACAATATTAACCCTAAATGTAAATGGACTAAATGCACCAATAAAAAGACACAGACTGGCAAATTGGATAAAAAGCCAAAACCCATCAGTGTGCTGTATCCAGGAAACCCATATCACATGCAAGGATACACGAAGGCTCAAAATAAAGGCATGGAGGAAGATTTACCAAGCAAATGGAGAGCAAAAGAAAGCAGGAGTTGCAATTCTCATCTCTGATAAAATAGACTTTAAAGCAACAAAGATCAAAAGAGACAAAGAAGGCCATTACATAATGGTAAAGGGATTGATACAACAAGAAGAGCTAACGATCCTAAACATATATGGACCCAATACAGGAGCACCCAGATACATGAGGCAAGTTCTTAACGACTTACAAAGAGACTTAGACTCCCACACAATAATAGTGGGAGACTTTAACACTCCACTGTCAATACTAGACAGATCAACCAGACAGAAAATCAACAAGGATATCCAGGGCTTGAACTCAGACCTGGAACAAGCAAACCTGATAGACATTTACAGAACTCTCCACCCCAAATCCACAGAATATACATTCTTCTCAGCACCACATCACACCTACACTAAGATTGACCACATAATTGAAAGTAAAGCACTGCTCAGCAAATGCAAAACAACTGAAATCATAACAGACAGCCTCTCAGATTATAGTGCAATCAAGTTCGAACTCAGAATTCAGAAACCAACCCAGAACCGCACAGCTTCATGGAAACTGAACAACTGGCTCTTGAATGTTGACTGGATAAACAACGAAATGAAGGCAGAAATAAAGAAGTTCTTTGAAACCAATGAGAACGAAGACACAACATGCCAGAATCTCTGGGACACATTTAAAGCAGTCTCTAGAGGAAAGTATATAGCAATAAGTGCCCATATGAGGAGAATGGAGAGATCCAAAATTGACACCCTATCGTCAAAATTGAAAGAGCTAGAGGAGCAAGATCAAAAAAACTCAAAACCCAGCAGAAGACAAGAAATAACTAAGATCAGAGCTGAACTGAAGGAGATTGAGACATGAAAAACCCTCCAAAAATCAATAAATCCAAGAGCTGGTTTTTTGAAAAGATCAACAAAATAGACCACTAGCCAGATTGATTAAAAAGAAAAGAGTGAACAACCAAATAGATGCAATAAAAAATGATAAAGGGAAAATCACCACAGATTCCACAGAAATTCAAACCATCATCAGAGAATATTACAAACAACTCTATGCACATAAACTAGTAAACCTGGAAGAAATGGATAAATTCCTGGACTCCTGTGTCCTCCCAAGCCTAAACCAGGAGGAAGCTGAAACTATGAATAGACCAATAACAAGGGCAGAAGTC